GCCGCAGCGCGGAGGCACGGCTGCGCGCCGTGGGCGTGCGCGCGGAGATCGATGACCGCTCGCTCTTCAGTCCTGGCTACAAGTTCAACCACTGGGAGATGCGCGGCGTGCCGCTGCGCGTCGAGATCGGCCCGCGCGACGTCGAGCAAGAAACCGTGCGGCTTGTGCGCCGCGTGGACGGAGCGAAAATTGACGATGCATTCGCCAACCTCGAAGAGCAGGTGCAAAGGCTGCTGCAGCTCAACGACGAGCTGCTCTTCGCAGCCGCGAGCGCAGCGCGTCGCGACGCGCTTGTCGAGGTGCGCAAGTTCGACGAAGTCAAACAGGTGCTTGCAGAGCGCAAGCAGTTGATCGCGCCTTGGTGCGGTACGCAAGAATGCGAGAAGCACGTCAAAGCCGAGACTGGGCGCATTGCGACGGCGGAAGCGCTCGAACTGTCCGGAGCCATGAAAACGCTCTATACGCCGCTGCAACAACCTGACCTCACAACCGGGACAAAGTGCTTTGCGTGCGAAAGGCTTGCGATTCAGCATACCGTGTGGGGGCGCAGCTACTAGCGCGCTCGCCAGCGCAGCGGTCGCCGCCGATCACGTTAATATTTATACACAATAAATTTGTGCCAGATCGGCGTTGCAACAGTCGCGCGGCGACCCATGATTTCTCGGCTGATTGGCGGCCAGCAGAATGCGCCTTCGGCGCGCATGGGCAGCAGCAACGCCATGTACTACAACGCGCAGCTCAAACGCTGGGTGCTCCCCGGCGAGGAGGAAGAGGCGCTGAAAGAGCTCGAGGCGCTGAACGCCGCGCCACCAAAGTGCGCGGCAACTAGCGCGCAGGACCGCAAACCGCTAGACTTTTCGAAGCTGCAAAATCTCTACCCACTGCCTGCAAACGTGCTCGCCCCCGCCAGCTCGAGCGCCGCTTCTCCCGCTGACACAACTGGCTCACCAGACAACCTGTTCGCGAAGCGCGACGCTCGCGCGAGCTCCAAACGCGGCTCGCCGGACTTGTCTAGCGAGCTGTCCGGGATTGGCGACGTGAGCATCACTTTACAAAAGCCGCTTACGAACGTCGACGTTGAGAAAGGCGTCGTAGCGCGCAGCGCGCTCGCAAGTGTCCGACGGCCGGCCCTCGACTCGCAGGACGGCGCGCTGAGCTCCGCGAACGTTTTGCCGAAGCACGCGGTATCGCGCGAGCGAGTCCCAGACCCTAGTTGCGCCGACACAATCGCTTTGAGCGCGACTGGCTCTACACAGCTGCTCGCTTCGCCGTTTGTCGCAACGCCACACACGCTGGCGGACGACGCACCTCTTGCCAACGCTGGCCGCCGGCTTCAACCCGCACACTCTAGTTCTTTCGTCTCGCAAGAACCGCTGGCTTCTGCGAGCGTCTCCCCAGAACTTTGCAGTGGAGCTTTGCCCTTAACGGATCCGAGCTTGCTGAGAGGGCTCGCACGGGAAGATACGCGGATTAGGGCCGCTGCATTGCAGCGCGGCGAGGACGACACTGACAGCGCACAGGCAGAAACATCCCTGTCGGTGCAGACGAGAGCAGACGCGCGAAACACTGCGCGCCCGGTGGAAGGCAGACTTGGCTCTGTATTTGCCTCGTTGCCTAGAGTGCCGAGCGAAACTCGTTCAGCGCCGCACTTCGCGCCCGCGCTTGGCGGCGAGCCTCCCAAAACCGCAGCGATTCACACAAACTTGCCGCCGACGCCTACTTCGCTAGGCATTCAACAGGCCACCGTCTCCGGGCCGCCTTCGCACGCCGCGGAGTCGTCGCAGCGATACGCCGAGCTGCAGTCAAACTTCGCAGAGAACCAAAGTGCGCACGCTCTGCTTCCGGGCGGCGAGTCCAGCGCGCGGCATGTTGACGTCAAAGATCACGGCGGAGCTGCACTGCCGACGCGCCAATCTGAGGCTGATCGGCGCAGACTCAGCAACGCAACCAGCGAGCAGGCGCTCGACGACTTCCCTGCGTCGCGAGAGCAGTTGAACGAGCGCGCTCACTCCGCGGCCGCGTTCCAGAAAGAAAACCGCGGAAAAGATTTGCTCAGAGCGCCGCTTTCGCCGCAAAATGCGAAAGAGTTACGAAATAGCCGAGGCGCTACAGCGCACGACGACGCGATGGCGCCTGCTGCGAAGGCCGACAAGCGACTCGCAGATGAGGAACGCGCGCCGCCGGTGGGAGTGGACAGCGCGCTGTTCCCGTTTGCGCGTAATCCGAAACGCGATTCGAGTCCCGTGTCGCACGCCGTGAGCGTCTCGTCACCTCTGCTGAAGCCGGTGCGAGGGCCAGAACGCGAAGCCACCCACAGCGAGAACGACTGCGCAACTGACGAGTCGCACGAGGAGTTTCCGCGGTCCATTTCGCCGTCGTTGCGCGCGCGCATCGACGAAGTGCGCGGCATCAACAGGACGCGCGAGCGTTGCCGTGAGCCGCAAGTTGGCGCAGGCTCACGGATCGCTAAAGGCGTTGAGGACGAAGAGTCCCCCGAAGAAAACAGCGAAGCGGTCCGCGCAGAATTGCCGATGTCTACGCTCGCGCGCAACAGCACGTACGAAGAAGCCGCCAGCGGCGCGGCGGGCTCCTCATTTGCCATGTTCGGCGGCACGGCAGCGCGACTCGGGCTGCGCAACTCCGCGGCGTGCGGCGCGCGCAGCGTGCTCTCGCGCAACCCGTTGCAAAGCGGCAGCAGCAATCGCGCACAGCAAACCGCACTGCGCGCCGCGCGACTGGCAGTATCGCAGCTGAATCAGCTACTCGGCTTCGACCAATACGATTTCGACGCGATCGAGCCGTACATCACGGACGCGAACATCGCGGAGGTGGATACGCTGGAGCACGTGATCGCAGAGAATGTGCCGAACGCTGAATTCGTTGGGCTGGACGCGCTGAAAAACCGGCTGCGTTGCGCGCATGTGAACGTAGCGAACAGCTCGAGCGCGATGGGCAAAACGTTGCGGCTCGCGATCCAGTCAGTTATTGAAGAAGAAAAGGGAAACCTGCAGGCGCAGCAGTTGATTGCGAACGCCGAGGCGGAGGAGTTGCTGCAGTTGTTGGACGCAGCTGCAGGCGAGTTGAACCGCTTGACGAAGGAGCTGGCCGCCGCGAACAACAGCATTTCCATGCTGCGAGAGCAAGTCGCCGCGCGCGACGAACTGCTCAAGTCGTACCAAGACAAAGTGGTGTTCCAAATTTCTCAGCACGTTTCCAACAAGTAGCGGCTAGGTGGCGGCGAGGCACGGCTGCTTTTGACTGTATTTAGCTTTCCAGTACTCCGGCAACGCGTCGAGCAGCGTGCCGAGACAGAGGTGATTCAGGTGCGGGTAAACCGTGCGCGCGGTCCAGCGCAAATTCGCGTTGACGATGACGTTAAACGCATTCTCCGCAACTTCCTGCAGTGGCGCGCTGAAAAGCGAGCTGCTGCCGCTTTCAGAGCGAAGCGGTCCATAGTTGACGCTGAGAACTTTGACGCCGCTGTCAGTTACTTCTTTGGAAAGGCTCTCGGCGAAAACGCTCAGACTTTGCAGAACTGCCGCTTCGCACTCGCATCCGCGCCGCAACTTCAACCAGTAGGCTGGCGCGACATGCACGATCAGAATCAACCTGTGGTTCCGCTCCAAGCGCGCGGCGATCCAGCGGTCGAAGAGTACGGCGTTCTCGAGGTTGTCGCGCGTGAACGCTTGCAGGTTCTCGAGCGACGGCGACTGCGGCTCGCTGTACGCAAATAGCCCAAGCAACACCTTCGCGTCGCAGCGCGACTCGAAAAACTTGGAGAGGGCCTCGTCGATCTTGCCGGTGCGCCGATCGAACGTCAGCACTTCGACGCGGTTAGAGATTAGCTCGCCGGAGAGCACTTTCAGCGGCGCCGGCGCCGCGTCCAGCAACAGAATGTTAATCCACGGGAAGCGATTCGCAAAGCGCTTGACCACTTCCACCGCGATCGCGTTGCCACCCAGACTGCAAATCAGCCAGAGGTTGTCATTGAGTAGGCCATCTTTGAAGTGCGAGCGCAACACGGGCACGTTATGCATTTGCAGCGCCTGCAGCGCGATACGCACGGACTTAAGCAGCCCGAGGTAGAACAAGCAGGTGGAGATGCCATGGTGAATGAAAGTTTCGAGAAACTTCGCCATTGGCGAAGACGATCTGATCAGTGTGCGCGAAAAAACAAAATAGCGATTCAACTCTTTTTCGACAAATTGAATATTGAACGAACTTCTTTTATGACGTGAAAAATCGGGACGCGGTATTTCGCCTGGATTACCAGGATCGGCGCGCGCGCGTACAAGTTGTCGTGCTCGCCGAACAGCATGGTTTTTTTTGCACTGTTCATGCGTTCTAAAATTTGGCGTCTCCACTGCGCCAAACTCTCCGCGGAGCGCTCGTCGCTCGGAACGGGCGTGTGAAAGATCACACCAGGCTGCGCGGCGAGCCGCTCGATCAGCGTGGAGAACATATCGATTTCGACGTGCTGGTTAAACTCGATGAGCAGCGCGGGCTGCAGCGTGACGCAGTTGCGCTCGGCGTTCCACAGCCGCAGCTGGTTAACGATGTTGTCGGGCACGATCTTGCTGTCCACGCGGTAGAAGTCGAGGTCGAGCCCGAGACTGATTGCGGAGTACTCCGCTGAGGCGCTCTTGCCGACGAGGTAGTTGGTGACTTGCACGCACGGGTGCGCCTGCAGAAAGCTGATGATGCTGTCCGCGGTAAACCCAGAGTTCAGCGCCTCCATGACGGTGCGGCGCTCTATCAATCCGATCACGAGCACCGGCGTGACGACTTTGATGTTCGTGAAGCGCGAGAGAATAGTTGCGTGCGCGAGGTCGGGGTTGAAGAGGTAGACGCGAAAGTTACTTTCACAGATGATGCCGTTGCTGGAAGCTGTCTGCTCGTCCTCGGCGCGCGTGGAACCGGCGTAAGACTGCAGCAGCCGCGAGTACTGCGCGCTGCCGCCACATTTCGCGTTGAACGCCACGACCGGCAGGTTGCGCAGAGGGTCGCTCTCGGTGTTCAGCGAGTAGAGCGCCGTGCTCGCGTCAGGGGCGGTGCAACTCGGCCCGCAGAAGATCGAGCAGAGAATGGGCGCGGTGCGCTTCTCGAGCCGCGCAAGCTGCTGCACGCCGATCGCGTAGAACTGCTTGATCGAGTAGCACGCCTGCAGCAGCAGCGGATTGTTCTGCTTCGAAAGCAGCAGCACCAGCGGCGAAGCGTAGAG